CGGTCCCTCAGTATGATGGGAACAACTCAGTAGGGAAAGAAACACACAGACACAATTAAGCGGCGATTCCCCAGAAAATATGGGAAAATATGGGAAGTGGGGGGGAAGACAAAAACCCAGAAAATATGGGAAAATATGGGGAATATGTTTGTTTGTGTGTATTTATTTGTGTGTCCCCGGGCCCCTTCAACGACATAGCTCTTGCCCGGGCAGTCGAGTCCGGAGCAGCCTCCCCCCTCGGCATAACCGCTCGTCCGTCGAGCGGCTCCGTGGGCCTGCCGTCGCGTCGCGGGCCCGCCCCTCCGCAGGAAAAAACTGCTCGGGAGGGGTCCGAAGAGAGCGCCGGGACGATCTCTCGGCTGCGTTCTTGTCTACTTCTGCGTACTCTGTGGCTCTTCCCCATTTTTTTGGCGATGTTCTTGTCTATATCTGAGGTCTATGTCTGGACGATTTTTCTGTACCTGAGCCCTATATATATATATATATGTATATATGAGTCCTATGTCTGCTGTATTCTGGGACGATTTTTCGGCTACGTTCTTGTCTACTTCTGCGTGCTCTGTGGCTCTTTCGCGTACGTCTTGCGTGTGCACTCGGCCTGCACGGGGGCCGCGCCCGACCCGAGCCTGCCGCTGGCCCGCTGCCGGGCGGCTCCCCGTGACGTCTCTCGGCATCGCTCGGACGTGGGCATCTTTCCTTCGTCGAGGACAATCGAGGAGCATCCTTGATCGCTTGGCGAAAAAACCACGCACGAAACCGAAAAGAGCACAGGGAATGGCCGTCCGAGCGATGGCGAGGTCTCTCCGCCCCCCTTTTTGGGGCTGCACCGTGGAGGCCCCGGCGTTGCCTCGAGGCTGTTCGGCCGCGCGCAGAGGTCGGGGGGTGATGACTAGGGGGGGGGGGATCTCATGGCGGGGGCCATGGTATCTCCCCAGATCTCAGGGCGCCTCTTCTGGATTCATCACGTCCCCGGCCCCCCCGCTGGGCCGCGCACGTGCCGCCGGTCATGATTTGCACCCCCCCCTCTTGGACACCCCCCTCTTGGCCGCTCCCGAGCAGGGGGGGGGGCCAGGGTTCTGGACGGCGGTCAAGGGAGAGGGAGCATGTTGCCAACTCACTCCCAGGTGTCTCAAAAATGGTTTTAACATGCTACAGCCATGTCTTAACACACATTTAGAGCATGTTTCGAACATGTGAAGCACATGTATAAGACTCAATGACAGGATTGTTGGGGTGTCGATTAACATGGCATCCTCAAGGGTAGGGGCAGGGGAAAGGCTACTGAGAAAAACACCCCTGCTTCTTAGAGGGCGCGCGCCTTGTCTAGAGGTGTGAGGCCCGCATCTAAGGAGCAGCCTCCTTCCAGGACGCATTCCCCCCTCTCCCACCCCCCCCTCCCTGCGCGCAGCCGAGCACCGTCGAGGCCCGAGCGTCTCCTCGACGATGCGAGGTCGGGGATCTCGGGCGCCTCGCCGGCCCGCGGCCCCTCGAAGCTCCTGGGCTTCGGCTTCGCAGAGGCCCCCCCCGCCCCAGCTGCAGGCGACGCTGGATCGCCCCGCGTGCCACCGCGTCGGGTGGCCGAAACGGAATGCGGGAGACTCGCGCGGCGGTGGCGCGCCGGCGACAATGGCGAAGGGGCTCAAGGCTGAAATCCGCACCACGGAGCGACGCGGAAGCACCGAGGGACACGATAACGCCACAGGACCCGACTGAACTCAGCCTTGAACGATCGGGGCCGCGATCGGTGCCAGGTTGAACGATCGGCGCAGCGTCAAAGTCCTCTGCTCGCGCCGCCGCGCGAGCCTAGTGTACAGTCATCGCGCAACCGTGGGGGACGCACTATCAGGAATGAAGGGGATGTTCTACAGCCGGGGCCCTGAAGAAGGAATCCTTTTCGTTGGGGAGGGGCTCCGTGTTCCTTAAGTGTTTCGCAGCTTGCCTCAGGTTTTCCTCAGGTTTTCGATCGGAAATCGAAGGTTAACTTATGGAAAAAAGGGGCCTCGTTCCTTATTTTGGGCTCCTTAAGGTCAACGCCCCGACTGTAGACGCGCGGGCCCGGGCCGCAAAAAAAAAGCCTCTGGAAGGGTCCGAAAGCCCGAGCCCCTCCCGAGCCCGACGCGGTCCTTAGTTCAGCGCTGGGCCTCAATGTTCCGCTCGGTTCGCTCGCGTTCCTCTGGCCGTGCAGCGGGCCCCCCGCGTGGAGTGGAGTTCGGAGTGGCCCAGCACCTGGTCCAGGCCAGGAGACAGGGGGCCGATGCTCGAGGTTTCGGGTTCGAGAAGGTGCTTTACCCTGTTCGGCCTCCTGGGGGCCGTGTTCCTCCTGCTCCTCCTGCTCCTCCTGCCCCTCCTCCTGGGAGGGGGGGGGGAGGGGGAGGAGGAGGAGGAGGAGGAGGAGGAGGAGGAGGAGGAGGAGGAGGAGCAACAGGAGGAGCAAGAGCAGGAGCAGGAGCAGGAGTTGGAGGAGGAGGGGGAGGAGCAGGAGGAGGAGGGCGCCCAGAGGAGACAGGAGGAGCAAGAGGAGTCAAAAAGGAGACAGGGTGAAAAGTTGCAGCACGTAACCTCGGGAGTGGTCCGGGGACCGATTCTGAGCGGGTTTACCCTTCTTCCCCTTTCTTGACCGATTCTCTCAGGGGCCATCCAACTCATGCCCCCCCACCCGCCTCCAAAGTGGAATATCATCGGCGCATAGTTGCCTTGGAATCTGCAGCACTGGAACACTCCCCCCCTTTTATCCGTATGCCGTATGATACGAGTACGTTTCTAGGAAAGCAAATCGGGAGTTTCTATCGGGCTCCACACGGGTTTATGTTTGATCGTTTGATGCAGAAAGTGTGCCACTGGATCACCCTGTATTTGAAAAGGGGGGGCGTGCTCGCAGAACCCCACCCCCCCCCCTTGAAATGGGAGGTGAGGTTTTCGACCCCCCCCCTCCTCCCCTGAAGGGAGAGGGGGGTCCAGACCCCCCCCTCCCCTTTTTGGCGCTGGCCCCCCCCCCCCCCCCCCCCTTTGCGCCGAACAGGGGGCTGGGGAGGGGGGCCCGCAAGGGGGGGGTCTGGCCTCGAGAAAGTGAGTAGTGAGTAGTGAGTAGACAGTAGTGAATAGTGAGTAGTGAGTAGATAGTAGCGAGAAGTGAAGAGTGATTAGTGAGTAGATAGTAGTGAGTAGTGAGTACTGCGCAGTGAGTAGTGAGTATTGAGAAGTGAATAGTGAGTAGTGGGCAGTGGGGAGTGGGGAGTGAGTAGAGTAGCGAGTAGGGAGTAGTAGCGAGTAATGAGTAGTGAGTAGCGAGTAGGGCAGTGTGAGCAGTGAGTAGTGAGGAGGGAGTAGTCAGTAGAGCGTAGGGAGTAGTGAGTAGCTAGTAGGGAGTAGCGAGTAGCGCGTAGTGAGTAGGGAGTAGTGAGTAGTGAAAAGTGAGACGTGAGAAGTGGGTAGTGAGTAGTGGGTAGTGCACGGGGAGTAGCGAGTAGAGGGTAGTGAGTCGTGATTAGTGAGTAGTGAGTATTGAGTTGTGAGTAGTGACTTGTTACTAGTGACTAGTGGGTAGTGAGAAGTGAGTAGTGAGTAGTGCGTAATAATATTGCGTATCGGATAGCGAGTAGCGAACAGGGAATAGCGAGTAGGGAGTAGCGAGCAGCGAATAGTGTGTAGTGAGCAGCGAGTACCGTGTAAGGAGTGAGGAGTAGCGAGCAGCGGATAGTGAGTAGTGAGTTGTGGGCAGTGAGTAGTGAGTAGTGAATTGTGAATGTGGAGTAGTGAGTAGTGATGAATGAGTAGTGAGTAGTGGGTGGTGAGTAGTGTTTAGTGAGTATTGAGTATTGAGTAGTGGGTAATGACCCGTGAGTAATGAGTAGTGAGTTGGGAGTACTGAGTAGTGAGTCGTGGGTAGTGAGTAGTGGGTATTGAGTAGTGAGTCGTGAGTAGTGAGTCGTGAGTAGTGAGCAGTGAGTAGTGAGTAGTGAGTAGTGAGTAGCGAGTAGTGAGTAGTCGGTAGTGAGTAGTAAATAATGAGTACTGAGTACTGTTTGGGGCTAGGGTTAGGGTTTGGGGTTTGGGTTGCGGGCGGTCGGGGTGGTAGCGCTAGGGGCGGCAGGGGTCGGGTTCCGGAGCCCGGGGGCGCCGCGGGGCGGGGGGGGGGGGGCGGTTCGAATTTGGCGGCCAAAGGGGGGGAGGGGGCGGGGGTTCGGACCGCCCCGTGAACGGGAAAGGGTAGGGTAGGGGGGGGGGCCCCGACGACGGACCGGGAAAGGGAGAGAGGGGGGGTGCCCTGACGACTGATCGTGGAAGGGGCGGGGGGGGGGGGGGTGCCCCCCCCCGCTTGGGGAGGTCCAGCGGCGCGCCCTATTCGATGCATCCGCAACCGCTCTAGCTCTCGCGCCCCGAGGTGAAAAGATAATCGGGGATGCGGGCCCTGCGGGGCCCAGTTCGATCTCGGAACGCTAGCGCGATCCCGCGGATGGTAGCGGAGCGTGGCCGAAGGCGGATCACCCTCCCCTGTCCGGCGATCCTCGGTCACGCTGCCGCGGCGGGCGCCGCGGCGATGGAGGCCCTCGCAGAGCGCGTTCGGCCCATGGAGGGCGAGGTGCTCGCAGGGAACGAGAACCTGAGGCTCAGGCTGGACGCAGCGGAGCAGCGGCTGGCCATGGGCGAGCAGCGAGCAGGAGAGCGCGGCCTTCAGCGGCAGCCGCAGGTCTCGGCGGGGGCCAGATGGTCGACACCAGGCTGCTGAACAAGCCGCGCACGTTCACGGGCCTGCACTCAGAGTGGAAGACGCGGTCGTTCGATCTCTAGGCCTACGCGTTTGTGGCCCGCCCCCGACGAGGGGATCTATTCAACCAGGCATCGCGGGCGGCCGACGCACTGGCGGCCCTGGGCGAGCTGGGCGCATCGCTAAACATTCAGCCGCGCTACATCCTGGTCTCGGTGACCTCAGATGTCGCCAAGGTCGAAAGCAGAAAGGCCCCACAAGGCGACGGACTCTCGGCATGGTGGCACCTGCTCAGGGAGTTCGCAGAAGCAGGCGAACTGCCCCGCGGTCATGCTGGGCCGCATCATCCAGAGCGAGTTCGCTGACCCCGCGATGACGAGCGCGGCGGAGTTCGAGCAGCTGGCGCGGGAGTGCACCGACCAGAGCGGCGACGTGATCTCAGACAACATGAAGCGCGGGGTGATCATGTCGGGCATCGAGAATGAGAAGCTGGCAGACCACCTGAACCTGAACGCGTCGCGCCTGGGGACGCACGAGGAGTTGGAGCAGAGGCTGAAGACGATCTGCTCAGCACAGCGACGATGGGCAGCAACTGACTCTGGTGGCGACGGAGCGGCCCCCATGCAGGTCGACACGATCGGCACGGGCAAAGGAGACCACAAAGCAAAGGCAAGGGCAAGGACAGCAAAAGCAAGTCCAAGGGCGACTCCAAAAGGGCGGCTCGAAGGACAGCCGAGAGACCCGCAACTGCCACTACTGCGGGAAGGCGGGCCACCTCGCGGCGGACAGCCGGAAGAAGAAGGCCGACGAGAAGAAGATCAGGAAGGTTGCCGCGCTGACGGAGGGCCCCAAAGGACAGCCTTCGACGGCGACTACGGCTACAGCGCTGCAGGGCAACGGCACTGGCTCGCAGGCCAGCCTGGCCCCCGCCGTAGCTGTCTCGCGCGCGGCAGCGGTTCTGGCGCAGAGGCAGCCGCAGCAGCAGCGGAGCTTGGCTTCTACGAGCTCAACCGTCCACATCGCGAACATCAATGTGGTTGGCCATGCTGACATCCCAACGCCCGAGGAGTACCACTGGCAGGTCGGCATGCTCTACGACAGGACGCAGTGCGACGCGCTGCCAGTGACGGTCGGCGACACAGCGGAGCTCGACCGGGCGTTCTTCGACGCGGGCTCAGGGCTCACCACCCGCCCCCAGGAGCTCGCGGACACGACCGAGATGCTGCCGCCCAGGATACTACCTCTTTGTGAGTCGGCGACGGGCGACGAAGTCAGGCCCATGGGCACGGGGATCGTCGCGGCCGAGGGCGACGGGGTACCTCTGCAGATCGAGTTCCAGGTGACGAACGTGAAGCGCGAAATCGTGAGCGCGGACACCTTTACCGAGGGCGGACACATTCCGATTCTCGGCAAGGATCCCTACATCCTGCTGACGGACGGCCGCAAGATCCGGCTGCACAGGAGCGGGAAGACGTTCTGGCTCAGAATCCGGAGGCCTGCCGAGAACGTCACCGAGCCTATCCTCGCTAACCCAATCCAGCCGAACACTGAGGCGCGAGCCGTACCTCACGAGTCACTCGCCGACAAAGGAGACGCAGAACTTGGCGCAGGACCCGCAGCGCCACAGCCGACACCACCTCCACCAGCACCGCCTGCTGCTGGGGACGCCCAGGATCAACCTGATCAAGAGGGAGATCAGCGTGAATGAGTGCGACGGCGGCGTGAGGACGGAGCTTTGCTACGAGTCTCTGGAGAGGCAGCAGCGGCCAGGGCGAGAGGGATCCCAGCGATGCCAGACCGAGCGATCCGAGATCAGCATCGACTCACTCACTGGCCCTTCCGCACCTGGTGCCTATCCTGCGTCATGGGCCGCGGCCAGGAAGACCCACGCAGGCGCTTGGCTGACGCCAGCCGCCTGATCCCGCTCGTCTGCATCGACTACCTGCTCCTGGGGGACGTCGAGGGCAACCCGTTCACAGTGCTGAACATTCTGGAGTACCAGTCGGGAGCGATCGAGAGCGCGCAGATGACAACGAAGGGGCCTGCAGACTACGCCGTGGCGCGATGCGCGTGCGGGCCTCAGCCGCGTTCTTCTCGGCGCCGATGGCGAGCCCGCCATCCAGGCGCCAGTCCGAGCCGCGCAGCTGGCTCGAGACGGGGACCGTTCCCCACAGCGGGCCCAGGCGAGACCCCAAGAGCAAGGGAGCTATCGAGAACGCCAACAAGATGGTCGAGGGCATGTTCCGCACTTTGCGGGCATCGATCGAGTCTCAGTACAGCACCAAGCTCACGCTGAACCATTGGATCATGGGCTGGATGATTCGACGGTCGGACTGGATCCTGTCGCGGTACCCAGTCAAGGAGGTGGCCTCGCCCCGCACCAGCACTTGAAAGGTCGCGCCTACAAGGCTGAGATCCGATGGGGCAAAGCCTTCTGGGTCGGGAAGGACAACCGCACGGACAAGCACCTTGGCGACCGTTGCTTGCAGGAAAACTGCGAGGACCGTCAGTAGGCGCGTGGAGGATCAGCGCTGGTCCAAGAGCTTGTTCAACAAGGTCGGGTGCACGCCATGGGACACTCGCGCGGGACCAGAGGCAGCACCGCCACCACCGCGCCGCCGCTACATCACGAGGGCGACCATTGATCGAGTGGGACCTGCACCCGGCTGTGGCGGCTGCCACGGACTCGGCCATCCACGCACTGAAGCTTGCCGAGAGCGCATCGAGGGCCTGATGAAAGCCGAGGAGGAGAAGGAGAGACAAGAGGCAGCAGCTCGAGCGGCCGCATCCGCAGCTGCGGCCGCAACCCCAGGAGGAGCAACATGCTCAGCCAGGGATTGGCGCCGCACAACCTGAACGGACACCACCTCCAGCCGCTGCACGGGACCCACAACTTGCTACGGGGGTCGACCAAGGAGGACGGGCTGGAGGCGGACGCGCCCTCGGCCCCCACGCAGGAGGACGCGGTGCAGCTGCCGCAGCAGGACGGCATGGAGCTCGGCATGACCGGGATGGATTTCAGCGGCACCCTGACGGAGGCGAAGCGGGGGCCGAGAGTTATCGCAGGTCTGTTCGTGAACATGGCGATTGCAGTTCTCACATCGACATGCGACGCCATCCACCACGACAACGTGACGGACATCAACAAGCAAGGCCACTACGACCGCGAGGCGAGTTGCCAGAATGTCTTCGGGGCGAGATCAGGGAAGAGGCTGGACCCCGCGTTGGCGAAGCGAGGCAGGGAGAAGGAGCACAGCCAGATGGAGGAGTTTCAGGTCTTCGATAGAGCGCCCAAGATACTGGCGAAGGGCAAGCGCATCCAAGGGAAGTGGGTCGACGACGAGCGCTTCGACGAGGACGGCAAGGAGTCGGTCAGATCGCGTTCCGTGGCCATGCAGTTCGCCTGGGACGTGCGCGAGGACACGTTTGCAGGCGCCCCACCACTGGCAGCATTCAGGCCGGTGGTCGCCTTCGCCTCAAGCCTCTACTCCACGGGGACCGGCTACGACGGCATGATCGCGCTCTACGACGTGTAGGTGGCGCTCTTATCCGCGCATACATTGATGAGGACATCCACTTGGTCCCACCTCGCGGAGAGGAACCAGAAGGCATCGTTTACCAGCTGAAGCGCGCTCTCTATTGCACGAGACGCGCAAGGCCCTTGTTCCAGAACCTGATCATGGAGGTCGTGGAGAAGGGCGGATTCACGCGCATCAAGGTGACGGTGCAGGTATACGACCACAAGGAGAGGCTTCTGATGGTGATGGTGCGTGGGGATGACTTCTTGGCTAGAGGAAGGAAAGAATATCTAGACTGGCTCGACGAGTTGGTGATGGGACGCTTCAAGGTCAAGGTCATGCCGAGGTTAAGCAGCCCTAAACAAAGGGGAGTCGAGCCAGGGAACTTCCTCAAGCGGACGGTGACGTGGTGCTCCGAAGGGGCCGGTGTCCAGCACGACCGCAAGCATGTGGAGATCTTGGTCAGCACCATGGTAAACAGGAAGGTTGGTGAGAGCAGCAGCACGAAGCGGGCGATCACCCCCTCTCCCAAGACTATTGATGCGAAGGACTGCAGGGAGTCATCGGACGAGCTCAGCACGGAGTACGCGACCACCTACCGCAGCATGGCACCCATTGCTTTGTGCGTGGGCCATGACCGATTCGACATCCGGCATGCCGTGGGATACCTCAGGAGGGGCATAGTTGCACCCACCTGGCACCACTGGCTACTGCTATAGCGGCTGGCGAGCTACCTGGAGCAGCACCCGCAGTTCGAGCTCTTCGTCGAGTTCCAGAGGGTGCCCAAGGTGATTGTGGCGGAAGTCGACAGCGACTGGGCGCCCGAGCCTGGTCGGAGGTCCGTGGACGGGGTGGCCCTGTTCACCGGCTCGCACCTGATCGACGGATGGAGCGGCCAACAGGGCAATCACCCGCTGCGCAGCGCGGAGGCGGAGTTCACAGGGATCGCGAACGGCTCGGCGAGTCGCTTCTGGTTGAGGAGCGTGATGCTGGAGATTGGGTTCGAGATGACCCCACCGGTGAACACAGACAGCTCGGGGGCCAAGGGGGTCGCATCATGCTTGGGAAGCGGAAAGGTGCGCCACCTGGAGACGAAGTACCTCTGGGCGCACGAGAGAGTCAGGGACAAGACGATCTCGATGACGAAGACCCACACGGATACGACCAGGGCCGACATGCAGACCAAGCCGCTCGAGCGACCGAGATTCCTGAAGCTGCTGGCGATGCTTCCACTTTGGACGCCGTCCTCAGGGCGCACGCAGGTGTTCGGAGTGATGTTGGCAGCGACGATATTTGGCGGAGTCCAAGGAATGGAGATGGCCCCAGCGAGCCAGGCGGTGGCGGCGATGAGCAGCCCGACCGCGATGGAGCAGGTCTGGACGACGGCCATCACCGTGATGTTCGGATCGACGATGGCGGTCGCGTTCCTGTCCGCGTGGACTGTCTACCGCCCGTAACAGGGGCCCAATGCGGTTCCTGAAGGGGCTCTGGGAGCTGGTGAGAAATGACGACGACCAGGCCGCTCAGGTGGAGGCCTCACCTGGAGAGGAGCATCTGGCGATCGTGGAGAGCGGCATCAGCAGACAAACGCAGACGACCCCGATCAAGCACTACTGGACGTGGAGTGCGACGGAGCTGCGCGAGGAGCGCCTGCGCTTGGGCATCTATCGAGGACAGCTCAGGTCGCAGATGATCGAGGACCTGCTGAACGGAGCAGACCGCAAGTGAACCTTGCTTGTGGCGCAGCAGCACCGCACTACATATGCTTGACCCGCCGTGCTGGAGCTCGCGTTGCCTGTTTGAAAAGGACCCTCCTCGCCAGTGGCTCGAGTGCGCGAGGAGATGATGCCCAGCGTTGAGGCGCTGGCCCTCAGAGGATGAACTAGATAGGCCCGCGGGCACAGGTGCCAGATCTTGTTTGTGCTAGAGTGTCTCAGGACGGCTTCTGTTCAGAAAGATTAGCCCCAGGCTAAGCCCAAGGCCCAACGAGGAGTGCCGCACGGAAACACACACACACACACACACACCGAATCCGTATGCCGCATGATACGAGTACGTTTCTGGGAGAACGACTCGGGAGTTTGAATCGGGCTTCACACGGGTCTATGTTTGATCGTTTGATGCATCCGCAACCGTTTTGGCTCTAGCGCCCACAGGTGAAAATATAGTCGAGGATGTAGGCTTTGCGGGGCCCAGTTCGATCTCGAAACGCTAGCGCGATTCCGCGGAGAATCCGCTGTTTCGGGTGAGTGGTCTTTCGAGTTTGCCCAGCATGTTCGCACATCTTCCGAGTAGCATGCGGACGTACAGGAGTAGGGTGATCGATGGCACCCCATCCAGAGTCTGGCTGACGCATGGTTAAACCAAGCGGATACAACATTTCCTGTGCGTGATGGATAACGCTCGCTCGAACTACAGGTTCGGGAAGTGTTTCTCCCAACGCCGCCACACGCGCCTATGCCGATTCACGGCGTGATGACCACACCCATGCCGCCCGTCATCTTGTAGCGCAGTAGTGTTATATGTGGACCGCAATGGTTCATCACACGCAGTAGCATTACTTCAGTTTTTACATTCCCAGCCCAGGAGGAGGAGGAGGAGGAGGAGGAGGAAGAGGAGGAGGAGGAGGGAGGAGAAGGAGGACGAGGAGGAGGAGGTGGAGGTGGAGGATATGGAAAACAATGTGTATGTGTAGGTCGTAACCGGGCCATGCCCACGCCTGGGACTGGGCGAATTGCGCTAGTTTTCTTGTTATGCAGTATGCCAGTTCGAACCGCTACCGCAAGTTTTGAAGATGTCTCAAGCGGAGCGGGGCCGAAACCATTCCAAACCAGGGCCAAACCAGGCAAATTGCGAGAACGTCTCAAGCAGAACCGAGCCCAAACCAGGCCAAACCAGGGCCAAGCGAAGCATTTTGTGAGGACGTCTCAAGCGAAGTTGGGCCCACACCAGGCCAAACCAGGGCCAAACGAGGCAATTGTTGAGGACGTTTCAGGAGAAGCCATCCCAAATCAGACCAAGCCAGGAGCCAAACCAGGCAGATGTTCAGGATGTCTACGGCGGGGCGCGCGGCCAAAGCAGGCCAAACCAGCGACCAAACCAAGCAGATTCTGAGGAAGTCCTAAGCAGAATCGCCCAAGCCAGGCTCAATCCAGTTTCTTTGATCAAAGTCGAATTAATAAAAGGGTGGATCACCCAGCCCGTGTAGAATTTTACGGGGGCGGGAGGCGGTTGGACCGCGCGTGCATTGATGCGGACGGGGTTGACGCAGAAACATTCATTTGTCTTTCCGGTGCTTTTGGAGCTTTGGTGTGGCGTTCGGAGGGATAATTTCGAGAGCCTGTAGGATAGAAAGTAAACTAGACCAACACATTGAGCAACCTTGAAAACACGGGAGAGGGGACGAATCAGCTCACTGGTACGGCCATGGCTGACAATCAATGACCACATCGCTGTTCTGATGCTCTCTCGGGATGCCCGTGGCCTGACGTGCCTCCTGGAGGGACGGCGGTGGAACTTCGGCAAGAGCCGCTCAAGGCCATACTGAAATTAAGTGGGTCTTGCATGATTCATTAGTTAGGATTTTTCCAGCGGAAACATCTGCCGTGCTGCCTCTGGGGGGCGGTTTTGGACGCCGGTCCACGCGATCCGGCGCGGTGGCCTCCTGCTTGCCGAAAAACATACCAGTGGCGGCGGTCATGGCGAGCCCCTTTACTTGTTTCGGTCAGCACCCATGGCGATCGGTCCTCTCGCTGCCATCTTCCCTCGGGCCGACGGAGAGCGTCCGCACTGTCCATGCGTGTCCACGGCGTGACGACATGGCGATCGAGTCTCCTCGGGGGGGCGACGGGCGCGGAGGCGACCAGCGTGGAGCGAGCCAGTTCTCCTCTCGGCGCTTCACCGTGTGGCCAACACGTGCCGGCCCCATCGTCCCCACTGCCTGGTCACTCGCGTTGCAGATGTGTTCTCTTGCCTCTCGACCTCCACCCCTGCTACTTGCATTTCCAGACGCTTCGCGCAACCCCATCAGCCCTGATCAGGGACATAGGAGAGCAAGACGTAGAACAAAAGGCTGGGGAAGCCGTCATACCCCAAGAGGCGAAGGATGGAGGAGTCGGAGGAGGAGGGGGGAGGGGGCTTGAGGGAGGAGGGAGGAGGAGGAGGAATCGGCGGATGATGAAGAGGAGGAGGAGGGCGATCAGAAAGACCAGATGCTTCTTGGATGACTCTCGCAGTCTCTTCGCATGTCTCTTGAGAGCTTCTTGGAGTCCTCTTGGGGCGTTTTGATGGCCTCTTGGCGGTCATGGGGGGGTTCTTGGAGCATCTGGGGTGCCTCGAGGGAGCATATTTGGGGCTCTTGATGGGCCTCTTGGCAGCCTCTTGGGGGCCTCTTTGGGGCACCCTTGGGAGCCGGGGGGGGCATCTTGAGGCCAAGACCTGACCCCCAGGAGGCCAAAACGAACCCAAAACCAACGGAAAATCAATGATGTTTGCCTTCTCGCCGAGGCCTTCTTGGACGCTCCAATGGGTCGCGGGGCGCCCCGTCAAGGTCCAGCGGAAGGGGTAGGGGGAGGGGTCAAGACACCCTCCTAGATAGCAAGCCGTCTAGCTCACTCCCACCCGCCCGAGAGCCTGAGCATGTTCTCAGCGGCCGTCTTTGGATGGGCAGCTGCTGGGAACCCAAACCGACCCCATGTGCGCGACGCGGGCGCGCCACACACCCGCCGACCCTGTCAAAAGCAGTACGACGTGCGCGCGGGCTTCACGAACGTGACTCAAAATGTTGCCCCAGCTTGAGTGCGCAATGTGTTTGACAGTGATGGTGGGGGGGGACCATCGGGTTGGCCGCGCATGCTCCAAATGAGGAGGCAGAGTGCGTCTTGCATTGCTTTTTGACAGGGGTGGTGGGAGTGTGATCATGGTGCCCGCATGGTTCCTGGTTGGCTGCCAGTCGCCTGGGGGAGGGGGGGGGCACATGAATATGGAATGGCAATCGAGACACCCTCCTAGATAGCAAGCCGTCGAGCTCACTTCCGTCCACAGCATGGTCAGCGGTCGTCTTTGGATGGGCAGCTACTGGGAACCACAACCGACCCCATGTGCGCGACGTTGCGGCCCGAGCGTGCCAGGCACGTCTGGTGCGCCAGATGCGCCACATACTCCACGTGCGCCAGGTGTGCTGCATACTCCATGAGCGCCAGGTGCGCCACGTTCGGGGCACATGCAGAGTGTGCCAGGTGCGCCTGCGCACGTGACAGCATACATCGAGAAACAGATCGGCCCCCACCGTCCTTGTCGAAAGCCAATGCCCATCATTGTGTCTGGTGGGCCTGCGCACAGCAGGCCATACGCCACCACCCCCGCAGTTCCTGTCAAAAATCACGTCACAGTGATCGCGGGGTGGCTGCGCGTGATCCAGATTTATTTGCGCGATGCATGCGGTATTGTTTTTGGTAGGGATGGTGGCCCTGCGCGCAGCCGGCAATATGCTGACACCCCCGCCGTCGCTGTCAAAAAAGTACCGGGTGAAGGACCCAACCATAAATAGTTGTGAGTAACGCGTTGTGGTTGCCGCTTCTGGTGGGACACGCATCGCGTGAGGGGGCGTGCCGTAATGGGTGGGGGGACGCAGGCGGGCGGTCCCACTGGAGCCTTCGGTGGGGCTCCCTGCGGGGCCACGACGAGCTGTAGTGGGCTGTGGAGACGCATGCGGGCGGTGCCACTAGGCCTTTAGTGGAGCCCCCACAGGGGGGCCACGTGGGCGGGACGCATGCGGGCGATCCCACTGGGACCTTCGCTGGAGTTCCCTATGGGGCCTTGAAGCGCTGTACTTGGTGGGGAGGACGCAGCGGTGCCACTGGGGCCTTCGGTGGAGCTCCTTATGGGGTCACGAAGCGCTGTATTGGGTGGGGGGGGCGCATGCTGGCGGTCTTACTGGGACCTACGCTGGAGCTCCCTAGGGGGTCACGAAACGCGGTGCTTGGTGTGGCGGACGCATGCGGGGCACCCCTTGGGGCCTTCGGTGAGCTCCCTACGGGGTCACGAAACGCGGTGCTGGGTGTGGCTGACGCATGCGGGCACCCCTTGTGGGGCCTTCGGTGGAGCTCCATATGGGGCCACGAAACTCTGTACTGGGTGTGGCGGACGCATGCGGGCACTCCCATTGGGACTTTCGGTGGAGCTCCCTATGGGGCCACGAAACGCTTTACTGGGTGTGGCGGACGCATGCAGGCGGTCCCACTGGGACCTCCGCTGGAGCTCCCTATGAGGTCACGAAGCGCTGTATTGGGTGTGGCGGACGCATGCGGGCACTCCCATTGGGGCCTTCGGTGGAGCTCCCTATGGGGCCACGAAGCGCTTTACTGGGTGTGGCTGACGCATGCCGGGCACCCCTTGGGGCCTTCGGTGGAGCTCCCTATGGGGCCACGAAACTCTGTATTAGGTCTGGCGGACGCATACGGGCACCCCCACTGAGCCTTCGGTGGAGCTCCCTACGGGGCCACGAACCGTGTGAGGGGTGTGCCAAAGTCAGGGGGGTGACGGGAGGAGGGAGGAGGGAGGAGGAGGAGAGAGGAGGAACGCGGAGACCGTCTCTTCAAAACGAGGACCCAACACCACAGGGTGGTTGGGAACAATACAAAGTGGTCGCGGGCCTCACGAACATGACTCAAGATTTTGCCTTAAGGTGTACTTTGTTTTTTTTGTCAGTGATGGTGGGGGGGCAAATCGGGTGGGTTGCGCATGCTCCGAATGTGGAGGCAGAATGCGTGTTGTATAGTTTTTGACAGGGATGGTGGGAGGGGGGGATCATGGTGTCCTCATTGTTCCTGGTTGGCTGCCGGTCGCCTGGATGGGGATCTTAATAGCGAGAAGTGATCAAGACATCTTCCCCTCCCGCAAGCCGTCTCGCTCACGCCCACCCGCCCTCCCATCACATAAGTAGCACCCGAGCCGCAGCGTGTTCACCAGTATAGTCTTTGGATGGACAGGCTAATGGGAACCAAAACCGCCCCCATGTGCGCAACGTTGGGGCAAGGTGCGCCAGGCGCGCAACGCGCGCCAGGTGCGCCAGGCACCCCTGTGGCCCAAGCGTGCCGGGCACGCCTGGTGCGCCAGATGCGCCACGTGATCCATGTTTGCCGTGCGCCGCATGCTCCAGCCGCGCCAGGTGCGCCACGTTCGAGGCACGCGCAGAGTGTGTCAGGTGCGCCTGCGCACGTGGCAGTAGACATCGGGAAACGTGTCGGCCTCCTTCACCGTCGAAAACCCGTGCGCAATCGCGGCGGGGTGACCATCGTCTGGTGAGCCTGCACATAGCAGGCAATATGCCAGCACCCCCGCCGTCCCAGTCAAAAGCCATTGCACAGTGACCGCGGGGTGCCCGCGCGTGTTCCAGATGTTGCCTCGAAGTGCATGTTGTATTGTTGTTTGAAAGGGAAGCTGGCCTTGCGCGCAGCAGGCAATATGCGAGCACCCCCGCCGTCCCTGTCAAAACATTATAGCCGGAGTGCAGTATCCCCAAACACGGTTTTTAAACCCATTGCGGTTTCCAAGGTCGATTGCGCGCCCGTCCAGTGCGGGCTAGCATGGCACGTTAGAACATGCCTCCTCCTCCTCGTCCTGTCCTCCCACACCTCCTCTTCATCCCGAACAGCATCTCGGAGCCCAGAGTTGAGAGGATGTCTCCAGCGTAACGGGCTGGATCATCTCGCGCGCGGCATCTCGGACCCCAAAGTTGCGACGATGTCTCGGGCGAAAGGTGCTGCAAGGAAGTCTCAGGCGAAACGGGCCGGACCACCGCGAGCGCGGCGTCTCAGAGCTCCGAGTTGCGGGGGCCTCTTGTGGCCTCCTGGACCCCACCCGGGGCTTCCTGAAGCCTCTTGGGGCTTCCAGGGGGGGATATCTAACATGTGCCCGTCGGGGCCCCCCAAAATGGAGGGGGGACCACAAGAGCAGGAAAACTCAACGAATCGTAGCCATTTTGGCTCAAGACATTTCGGCCCTAGGGTTCGTGTAAGTTCTCCATGGGGGCAATGAAATTATCCGCCGCGTTAGTGTTTTTGGGCTATGTGCGGATTGATATATGGGCAATGGGTGAATCAAGGTCTAACTCAACGGAAAGGGGTGCAAGGCTGTGGTTTCATGTGGGCCCTCACAAAACTGCTTCGACAACAATTCAGAAACAGCTTAAAGCTTGGCAGACCTATCTATCAAGTGACGGCTGGACGTGGGAAGACCCTGCGCAATTCGGACACTTACGCGGACAAATGACTCAAATCATGAATGTTGCAGAGTGTTATAAGATCCCATCCAAGTACAAGGACAACATAGAAACAATTTGTTCAGATTGGCTGCACTTTCTTGACCAGCTCAAAGGAACTTCAAAAAAGGTAGTGATGTCTAGCGAGCGTTTCGACACTATCAATGACACCAGCGTCGCACAGCTCGCGTTTGACTTAAGCCACATCAGTACCACCATCGTGATGGTCTACCGACCATTTTACGATTGGATCGCAAGCTGGTATCGGCAGCTCAAGGATCACGGGCAGGTTGAATTGGCCTTCGCAGATTGGCTAAGCGTTTCAAACATGGAGTACTACGCGTACAATTTCTCGTTCACGACTTCTCTACATAGTCGCTACGCCGCTCATTTTTCTGATGTGAAGGTGCACGTGATGGGCCCCGATATGATGACCGATATTGCCTGCGATGACTTCAATGCTACGAACACGTGCGCGATGTCTAGGAAGGGCAAAGTGATGAAGCAAAACGTCAGAGCAAAATCTTCGCCAGGTGAATGCCTCAGTTCTCTGCAGCTGCAAACGCTGAGAACTATATCCATTGAGTTGCACCGGGCGGCGTACGGTATCTTTGCATCTTCAAGTTTTCCCGCGGCGGATTTCGATGCCAAGGCCAGGATTTGCTTCGGAAATCCCCTTTAGATCCCGTCAGCCAGCCGCTGCTGTCGTGCCCTCGGAGGAGGAGTCGAGTAAGAGGTCGCTTACATAAACCATGTGCCCCAAGTTTTTTTGTTCGCCACGCAATGTATAACCTTCGTATACCAACAAACGTTGAACGCACTTGCTCGTCGTTTCGGAAAACCTGGGAGTCCGATGTCCAGAGCTTCTGCGACAAGTACGGGATCGGTGACTGGAGAGTAGCAGCCAGAGACGCACGTTCTTGGAAGTGTATCACCGGAGATCTTCTTCACATGAGCGCCTGCTAGTTTTCATTCGCCTGTGCCCTAAGCGGCCGCCCCTTCGCGGGCATACAGGCTTGACCTTGACCTTGACCTTCGGCAGACACTTCAAAATGTGCTGGACGTCGCTCGGAGTGGCCCCAGACCTCCAACGTCTCTAATCGAAAGGCTGCCGCCTCTGCCGCCGACCCTAATTGAGCGACGTATGTTTAATTCGTTTGTTGTCGGGCTGCCTTTCCGAGCACGGTAGGAAGGGTTCAGGTGAGACATCCAGGCTTGAGCCTCGCCCCCTGGACTCTTGATTCTCTGTTGCACCTCGGGCTCCTCTCTATCTAGCCATCGGCCCATCTCGCCACTGCGCCTGGGTTGTGGGTGTGAAGCCTATTGGGTGTTCGGTGAGATTTCGAGGGTGACCTTTAGGGAGCCTCTTGGATTGGATGCAGTTTTGAGGCCTCTTGGGGGCAGCTTTGGAGCCTCTTGGGGTCGCTGTTGGGTCCCCTGGGCGCCTCTTGGAGCCTCTCGGGGCCTCTTGAGTGCCTCTTGGGGCCTCCTGGGGGCCTCTTGGGGCGGAACGCTCGGATTGTGGGTTCGTGTTCCCTCTCTCGGGCCACTATTGGGGCCATCTTGGAGGCCGCTTGGACAGTCCTGGGGTGGTATTGGGGGCCTCGAGGGCCGTCTGAGAGCGTCGGGAAGGAAGCGCGGCGAGAACGCCCAAATTTTTGAAACAACGAATACAAATCAATGGTTGTTGCCTCTCAGGGTCCTCTCGGGAGGCATCTTCGAGGCCTCTTGGGGCATCTTGGAGGCCTCCTGGGCCATCTTGAGGCCATTCAAGGCGTCTTGGAGCGATCTTTGGGCGGCTCGGGGCGTTCTGGGCCGTCGTGGGCCTCTTTGGGCCCTGTTGGGCCCGTTCTGGAGCTCCCATCGCTCCGAAACGGTCGCGCGAGAAACCGCGAGAAGCCCCAGGAGAAGACGTCGCGACGCGGGGCCTGGGGCTCTTGAACGACTCCTCAGGCGTGATGATTTTGGCAAGGACCTAAGGGCACGCCCACTCCGTGCCCAGAGGCACGGTGGCGGATCTACAGAACCATGGTAATCCGATGATCATCGTCCCGACAGGTCGCATCGCATTTCCGAGCTCCAATGGGGGAGCCGCCTGGGGGTATTCCAATTTGTTGGTTTGAATCGAGGGAGGTGGCAGAGACTCAGGTTAGCGGTCGGTAGATTGGGCGAGGTGGCAAATATTATCCAGGAGCAGCAACGACCCCATCCCCGAAGGGGAACAATGGGGTTAGACAAGGAACCGCGATTGACCATCTCCTGCCCAGAAGACGGGTGGGTTTTTGAGTTAGGAGACCCCATGCGAGGAGTTGTTTGGGTCGGTTCCGGCGAAGCCATCATCGTTAATTTGGGCCCTGAGATGCCGCCTGTGAGGCGGTCCGGCCGGTCTCGAGACATCCCTGCAGTTGTGGGTTTCGAGATGCCGCGCGAGAGATAGTCCAGCCCATTTCGCTTCGACTTCTTCGCCGCTGTCCTGAGGTGGTCCAGCTTTTTTGGCTTGAGACATCCTCGCAGAGCAATCTTCGCCCGGTACATCCTCGCTATTCTGGATCAGTCGATGCTCAGGCCGCACGGTAACTATCAGTTCCCGTTTCCTCGCTGCTCTCGGTTTGCAGTTTCCGTGGACTGTTCGTTTCGCTTGAGATATCATTGCCACTCCGGGTTTATGTACGTCTTATGTCCTCACCTCACGCGGTCCCAGTCTTTTTCGCCTGAGACATCGTCGGGATTGTTCTTTCGGGGATGCCCAGACCTGAGGTGGTTCAACCAATTTCGCCCGAGACCTCCCATTTCTGGGCTCAGAAATGTCCTGTCAATGCTGTCGCCGATGACCACTTCGACAATTTGTGTCACTTTTCAATGGACACTCACCCAATGCTGTCGCCGATGACCAAAAGGAATGATATCACATCGCCTTCAAGGCGTGATATGCCAGCACCAAGCTTGGCCAGGCCTTCCATGGGCTTTCGCCAGTGGCCCTTGAGAGGCTTGGCCAACTTAGGAGCTTCGGTTCCTGGCCGATCTGACCCTTGGATTCCAGTTTCGGTCCGATCCGCCGTGCGCCACTGAGATGTGTATCGATCCAATATGTGGACTCGCAGGGTTCCTTGGGCCCACAGTACATTCAACTTAGTACTAGCCGGCCACTCTGCGGTTGATCGGGAGTTTCTGTATATAGAAGTAGGTGCGTGCGCTTGTTGGCGAGGGTGAGGATGAGGTTGCTCCTCCTCCTCCTCCTCCTCCTCCTCCTCCTCCTCCTCCTCCTCCTCCTCCTCCTCCTCCATCCTTCTCTTGCCTCCGTCTGTCCTCCTCCACCCCACAGCTCCATCATCTTCTCCTCCTCCTCCTCCTCCTCCTCCTCCTCCTCCTCCTCCTCCTCCTCCTCCTCCTCCTCCTCCTCCTCCTCCTCATTCCTCCTCTGGGCACCTCCCCCGGGGCGCGGATCCACCGGATCTGTCCGGATCTGTCCGGAAACGGTGCCGGAGGCCGCTCTGGGCTCCTCTGGGCACCTCCCCCGGGGCCGGTTTTGTGAGGATGTCTCAAGCGAGGGCGCCGGTTTGGGATTCGTCGGCGGATCCACCGGATCCAGCGGATCTGTCCGGAAACGGTGCCGGAGGCCGCTCTGGGCTCCATGGGCACCTCCCCCGGGGCCGGTTTGGGATTCGTCGGCGGATCCACCGGATCCAGCGGATCTGTCCGGAAACGGTGCCGGAGGCCGCTCTGGGCTCCTCTGGGCACCTCCCCCGGGGCCGGTTTTGTGAGGATGTCTCAAGCGAGGGCGCCGGTTTGGGATTTGTCGTCACCGGATCCAGCGGATCCAGCGGATCTGTCCGGAAACGGTGCCGGAGGCCGCTCTGGGCTCCTCTGGGCACCTCCCCCGGGGCCGGTTTTGTGAGGATGTCTCAAGCGAGGGCGCCGGTTTGGGATTCGTCGGCGGATCCACCGGATCCAGCGGATCTGTCCAGAAACGGTGCCGGAGGCCGCTCTGGGCTCCTCTGGGCACCTCCCCCGGGGCCGGTTTTGTGAGGATGTCTCAAGCGAGGGCGCCGGTTTGGGATTCGTCACCGGATCCAGGATCCAGGATCTCTGTCCGGAAACGGTGCCGGAGGCCGCTCTGGGCTCCTCTGGGCACCTCCCCCGGGGCCGGTTTTGTGAGGATGTCTCAAGCGAGGGCGCCGGTTTGGGATTCGTCACCGGATCCAGCGGATCCAGCGGATCTCTGTCCGGAAACGGTGCCGGAGGCCGCTCTGGGCTCCTCATGGGCACCTCCCCCGGGGCCGGTTTTGTGAGGATGTCTCAAGCGAGGGCGCCGGTTTGGGATTCGTCACCGGATCCACCGGATCGCGGATCTGTCCGGAAACGGTGCCGGAGGCCGCTCTGGGCTCCTCTGGGCACCTCCCCCGGGGCCGGTTTTGTGAGGATGTCTCAAGCGAGGGCGCCGGTTTGGGATTCACCGGATCCACCGGATCTATCCGGAAACGGTGCCGGAGGCCGCTCTGGGCTCCTCTGGGGCCGGTTTTGTGAGGATGTCTCAAGCGAGGGCGCCGGTTTGGGATTCGTCGGCGGATCCACTGGATCCAGCGGATCTGTCCGGAAACGGTGCCGGAGGCTGATTTGGGCTCCTCTGGGTACCTCCCCCGGGGCCGGTTTTGTGAGGATGTCTCAAGCGAGGGCGCCGGTTTGGGATTCGTCGGCGGATCCACCGGATCCAGCGGATCTGTCCGGAAACGGTGCCGGAGGCCGCTCTGGGCTCCTCTGGGCACCTCCCCCGGGGCCGGTTTTGTGAGGATGGCTCAAGCGAGGGCGCCGGTTTGGGATTCGTCGGCGGATCCACCGGATCCAGCGGATCTATCCGGAAACGGTGCCGGAGGCCGCTCTGGGCTCCTGTGGGCACCTCCCCCAGAGCCGGTTTTGTGAGGATGTCTCAAGCGAGGGCGCCGGTTTTGGGCCGCGGGTTTGGGTTCCGTGCGAGAAATTGCGGGTTGGGAGGTTCGAAGAACAGAGCTGCCGTGGATGGGAGTGTCGGGACGTGGTGGGAACGTGGGGAGTCGCGTCGGTGGGTTCCGGCTGCCGTGGATGGAGGTGTCGGGACGTGGTGGGAGCGTGGAGGGGGCGTTGGTGGGTTCCGTGCGAGAAATTGCGGGTTGGGGGATCCCAAGAACAGAGCGGCCGTGGATGTGGGTGTCGGGACGTGGTGGGAGCGTGGGGGGGGGCGTCGACAAGTTCCGAGCGGGAAATTGCCGGTTGGGGTGTCCCAAGAACAGAGCTGCCGTGGATGCAGGTGTCGGGACGTGGTGAGAGCGTGGGGGGGGCGTCGGTGGGTTCCGAGCGAGAAATTGCGGGTTGGGGGGACCCAAGAACAGAGCTGCCGTGGATGGGGGTGACGGGACGTGGTGGGAGCGTGGGGGGGGGCGTCAATGGTTTCCGGGCGAGAAATTGCGGGTTGGGAGGTCCGAAGAACAGAGCTGCCGTGGATGGGAGGTGTCGGGACTGGTGGGGGCGTTGGGGGGACGTCGGTGGGTTCCGCGCGAGAAATTGCGGCGTGGGGGGTCCCAAGAACGGAGCTGCCGTGGATGGGGGTGTCGGGGCGCGGTGGGAGCGTGGGGGGGAGCGTTGCTGGGTTCCGGGCGAGAAATTGCGGGTTGGGGGGTCCCAAGAACAGTGATGCCGTGGATGGGGGTGTGAGGACGCAGTGGGAGCGTAGGGGGGGGGCGTCTGTGGGTTCCGTGCGAGAAATTGCGGGTTGGGGGGTCCCAAGAACAGAGTTGCCGTGGATGGGGGTGTCGGGACGTGGTGGGAGCATGGGGGGGAGCGTCGGTGGGTTCCGGGCGAGAAATTGCGGGTTGGAGATTCCCAGGAACAGAGCTGCCGTGGATGAGGGTGTCGGGACGTGGTGGGAGGGTTGGGGGGTCCAAAGAACAGAGCTGCCGTGGATGCGGGTGTCGGGATGTGGTGGGAGCGTGGGGGAGGGCGTCGGAAATTTCCGGGCGAGAAATTGCGGGTTGGGGGGTCCCAAGAACAGAGCTGCCGTGAATGGGGGTGTCGGGACGCGGTGGGAGCGCGGGGGGGGGCGTCGATGGGTTCCGGGCGAGAAATTGCGGGTATGGGGGGTCCCAAGAGAAGAGCTGCCGTGGATGGGGGTGTCGGTACGTAGTGGGAGCGTGCGTCGGTGGGTTCCGGGCAAGACATTGCGGGTTGGGGTGTCCCAAGAACAGAGCTGCCGTGAGTGGGGGTGTCGGGACGTGGTGGGAAATGGGGGGGGGGGGCGTCGGTGGGTTCCGGGCGAGAAATTGCAAGTTGGGGGTCCCAAGAGCAGAGCTGCCGTAGATGGGGGTGTCGGGACGTGGTGGGAGCGCGGGGGGGGGCGTCGGTGAATTCCGGGCGAGGAATTGCGAGTTCGGGATCCCAAGAACAGAGCTGCAGTGGATTGGGGTGGTCGGGACGTCGTGGGAGCGTGGGCGGGGGGGTGTCGGCGGGTTCCGTGCGAGAAATTGCGGGCTGGGGGGTCCCAAGAACAGAGCTGCCGTGGATGGGGATGTCGGGACGTGGTGGGAGCTGCCGTGGATGGGGGTGTCGGGACGTGGTGGGAGCGTGGGGGGGGGGGCGTCGGCGGGTTCCGGGTGAGAAATTGCGGGTTGGGGGGTTCGAAGAACAGAGGCTGCCGTGGATGCGGGTGTCGGGGACGTGTGGGAGCGGGGGGTGGGGGCGTCGGTGGGTTTCCGGGCGAGAAATTGCGGGTTGGGAGGTCCAAGAACAGAGTTGCGTGCATTGGGGGTGTCGGGACTGATGGGGAGCGTGGGGGGGGGGGGGGCGTCGGTGTTCCGAGCGGGAAATTTGCGGGTTAATGCGCTGAGCCCCATGAACGAAGGCCGGCATATGGGGGTGTCGTGGTGGGAGCGTGAGGGGGGGCGTCGGTGGGTTCCGAGCGAGAAATTGCAGATTGGGGGGTCCCAAGAACGGAGCTGCCGTGGATGGGAGTGTCGGGACGTGGTGGGAGCGTGGGGGGGGGACGTGGTGGGAGCGCGGGGGGGGGCGTCGTTGGGTTGCGGGCGAGAAATTGCGGGCTGGGGCATCCCAAGAACGGAGCTGCCGTGGATGTAAGTGCGGGCACGGGGTGGGAGCGTGAGAGAGGAGCGTCGGTAGGTTGCGGGTGAGAAATTGCGGGTTGGGGGGTCCCAAGAACAGAGCTGCCGTGGATGGGCGTGTCAGGACGTGGTGGGAGCGTATGGGGGGGCGTCGGTGGATTCCGGACGAGAAATTGCAGGTTGGAGGATCCCAAGAACAGAGCTGCCGTGGATGGGGGTGTCGGGAAATGGTGTGAGCGTGGGGAGGGCGTCGGTGGGTTCCGGGCGAGAAATTGCGGGTTGGGGGGTCCCAAGAACAGAGCTGCCGTGGATGCAGGTGTCGGGACGTGGTGAGAGCTATGGGGGGGCGCTGGTGGGTTCCGTGCGAGAAATTGCGGGTTGGGGGGTCCCAAGAACAGAGCTGCCGTGGATGGAGGTGTCGGGACGTGGTGGGAGCGTGGGGGGGAGGCGTCGGTGGGTTCCGGGCGAGAAATTGCGGGTTGGGAGGTCCGAAGAACAGAGCTGCCGTGGATGGGAGTGTCGGGACGTGGTGGGAGCGTGGGGGGTGCCGTCGGTGGGTT